GAGGTCCCGAGTTCGAATCCCACCAAGGTAAGTGTGTTTTTATATGTGTTTTTAAATGCGAGAAAATATTTATAATCATAGACTGCATCTTAAGAAACAAATTTAGTTAAAAAATAGTAATAAAATTTTCGAAATAAATAATTTTTTTTTGTCGGGTGAATATTTGTTTATTATGGTTGTAACATCCATATATTATGGTTGCAACATCCATATAGTAGCTACCCTCACTAAGGTTAGGGCAACCATATGGAAACCATATGGAAACAATAGGTCACTTCCAGAGTACTATGGTTTCCATAACCCTTTTGTATGGATGGGCGAAAATTAACAGCATTATTCTGTTGTAGCAACCGTAACTTTTTCTCCGTGTAGGTATCTTGCCAGAGGCAAGTCATTCCCCTAATCTGAAGAAAATCGATTCTAACAAACAGATGATGTTTTCAGCTTCTCGTTTATCTCTTTAATTTATAACAAGCAAGTTGTTGTTACACAATCAGTCAAATGAAAAATGTTATTGTAATAACTTTCACGGTTATAATTGTTATTATAATATCAATTAAGCATATTTTAAATATAAATATACACGTTTAAGAAAGAGAAATAAATAATAATGTATCTTTATATTGCGTTATCTAATTGTAAGCTACTATCAATAATAATACCTTTACATTACTATTATAAGGAATTAAATTCTATTCTTTTCATATCTTATTTAACCCTTAGCTGGCACTGTGGGGTATTAAACGCCCCAGCCTAGTTCAGCTCTAATTTAAGCCCTCCTATAATACGAAAGTGGTACTAAAAAATGGAAGAGTTAAAATATAAGAGTTATGAATTTTCGAGTAAAACAGTCATTTTTTCGTTTTCTTTTACGTTCTCCAATTTTTTTCATACTTAACATTACATTTTATTAAAATAACCTATGACATTTGTTAAAACAACATTCGAAAACTATCTTGGAATTTTTTTAAGTAAAAAAATCAATAGCTTTCTCGCAGCAAGCATTTTAATAATGGGGTCTGAAACGGCTCCAGTGTGCCAGCTGTGATTTTGGTGAAGTGCGCCAGCTAAGGGTTAAATATATCTTTTTATGAATATTTTAATAATAAAACTATAAATTTAAAAAATATATAAATAGCGGATGTTTGTTGAAAATTTTTGTAGGCAACGGATATAAATTACGCACGTACACTAAAATTATTGATCGAGATCTTCATCGTATGTTTCTTTACGGTTTATGCTACATACTATAGTTTTTACAATTTACGCGATATGTACCTGTGACGTTAGCTCTAAAATCTAGATTCTAGAGACTATGTCGCATCGGTCGATAGCATTCGCCGACTCTGCTGGGAGTCGTTAGAATAAATGCGACTAGCTATTTCGCGAGGACCATGTCGTTCCCCTAGGCGGAAGGAAATCGATTTCTTCGATGGTGAGAGAAAAGATGAGGGTGAGTAGGTGGAGTGAATAGAGGGGTTCTGTACTTCACGAATCGCCGACCGGAAAGATGGAGCCTTTCCTATGGGGTGGATAAGACGCTCTTGCTAGACTAGACCTAGCCGCCTGTTTCCACAGAAACTATATACGATCGTCGAAGGGTCTGCAGATCAACCGATCTTGAGCGCATCTTATTTATCGCCCACCTACGTAATAGCGCATCTGTGCCGGTGATATTTTTCGCATCGCAGGACATCCAATGATATTGGATGTCATATGACTACGGAAATGATTCACGTTCGGGCGTGCGTTTAGACCAGTTAGTCCTATATTCTCCCATCTCTGTCTCCAGAAAATATTCGCAATATGCTTTTAAACTTAAGAGATTACAAAAATGCAAACAGTCTGTGATAACGGATTGCAATAACAGGAGTGCAAATTACCGGCGGAGAATAAATCTCAAGGGGTGAATTATGTTTAGATTGGAAGTAATATCAACGTAGGCGTATCTACATCTTTCCATTTAGATACGTCTTGAATAAATATCTGATAAAAACAGATTACGCAACGCATTAACGAAGAGAAGGTTTGTGAAAAAGAAACGGTTGATATCTTTCTGAGATGATAAATTCAGCAAGATTTATTACATATACTTGATTTATTATTAAAAATGCAGTAAAAAAAAAAAACAAAGAAATCATTATTTAAAACTCCTAAGTAATTATTGTTAGTATTATCTTTGTATACATGTTTTTTTGTCTCTTTGCAACAGTTTATATAATAAGATGGATGGATAACTCATGTTGTGTTATAATATAAACGTGTCTCAGTTCGAGTTATTGTCTTATATAACAAAACGTATTCTTTACAGCAATAATCTGTTACATTATGTAAAATCTATTACTCATATCCAAGTGATTTGATATCCAAACAATAAGCGTATCGGAAATATTTCTTCATTTTTTTTTCTTGTCTCTTGATCAGAAAAAGTATGAGCTTATACGAATAAGGCGTATTGTTACTGAAGAGAGCAGTCTTCACAATTCAATAATCCGCCTTAGGCACCGCCTTACGTTAGATTAAGGGGGCAAATGTTTCGCGACTGCTGCTGCCATATTGCTACTCTGTGAGCATTAGGTCTGCTTGTCTTACATTCCCAAGGGAGTAGCAGGAGTCTTGGATAATGTGGCACGGCATGCGGCCATTTTTATAGATTCTTAACTCAAAAGAAAATAATGTTTACTGAAGAAAAAAATCCGACGTTCTCTTTTTAATGCAATAGAGCATTGTAAATTATTTCGTAAAGTGTTATTTGACGAAAATAAATATATCCACGCAATTCAGTAAAAATCAAAGGATTAATGTTAACATTGAGTTCGCATTGAGTTAACATTATTCATAGAAAATATACAATCAGTCTGTTACTAGAATTTGATTTCATAAAGAATGTAAAACGCATGTATTTGTAACATCTTTACTGTCAAAATATTGTAATTATCTCTGATTATTCTCAATATATAAATATTTAAGATTTAAGAACATAAAAAGATGCTGCATACTATATGTATATGTTTTTTCTACAAGTTATTTGTTGTAGCTTCGCCGTTATCTCAAGAGGCGAAAGCAGCAGCATACAACCCAAGCACGTACGCCATACGCATTAAGAAATATGTAATTGCGTCTTTCGAGATAGTTGGAAGCGCTAAGAGGTTTCCTGCTTACGTGCTCATGTACTTTATGATACATCAGGTCGCGAGCTTAATAGACAAAGTTTGGCCTCCCTTCTTGCTATATTTCATGTAAAGTTTAATGATGAAAAATCGCAGTCAGGAATGAAGCGATGACAATGCTAAAAATATATTTCCAGGTGCACACAAATCGTTAGCATAATTTGAAAATAATGTATCTTAAAAATTGTATTGTGTTTATGCGAATAAATTTGCAAATGGTTACCTGATTCTTACAAAGAAACCAGGACATTTACAATACTATGTTGTTCAAAAAATCCTTTAATAATTTGTATTTATTTAAATTTTTAATAAAACGAACATTTTTTAATGAGCTTTTGCGGAAACGGAGAAAGTAACTATATTCATCTTTGTAAGAACAACGTTTCGATAGGGAAAGCAATTATCTAACCTTGGCCGGGGAAAGAATCGACATATACAACTGCCACGGGGGAAAAGAAATGGACGAGCGGGGAGAATAAAACGGATTTGGTCGAAATTAGAACCTCGGAGCCCATTCCAGGAGTGTCGGCAGGTTATGTGCGTGATTCGAAGAAGGAAATCACCCGGATAACTTCAACAACAACAACGGACACGTGCTAACTTGCTCGATTGCTACTAACTTTTTCTATCGGAAAAACTGTACCCATTTGTCGAAATTTATGGTCTGGATCTCTATATGGCGAGATTGAAATACGGTGTAAAAAAACTGCACAAAAATGTACGGAAGATTTCGTAGGTGCGTATATATAACTGTTATTTAATTTAAGAAAAAGAGCGACACAGGTATGTGTAACATTTATATTCGAAATCAATTTTAGTCAAAATTATATGGAGATTTTAACTGTGAATACAGTATTAAGAAATTTAATTGTCAAGCGTTGATACATAATTTAATTATCAAGATATTATTTTTAACGTTTAGAGTAAAGAAATTATGGCAAATAATAATTGTCCATAAAATTTTCATTAAACAGCAAATACTAAATTCTTCAATTTGGAAAACACGCTGTAGATGATAAAGCGAAAAGAGACGCTTAGAAATAGGTGAACGATAAATGAAGAGGATGTTTTCCACTGCGGAAAAAAAGAACGGAACATCTTGAGATTAATTGAGTTTTCGCGCGGAATAAAAAGCAGTCGCGGATGATGGTGCAATATCGAGAATAGCGCAGCGTGCATTAGTATATTAGTGGGGGAGGAAAGCGATAGAAAAAGGGAACGGAGAGCGAAGCGATTGAAGCTCAGAGGATCGGACTCACTCGCGGGGGTAGATTAAAAGTTTGCCGAGGAATTTCCCTCGGATAAGGGAGGCAATTCAGCACGATCGCGCGCGAGCGATCGTGGATATCGATTCTACAACGGATCGTGACGGACGGCACGGAGTGAGAAAGGTATGCAATTCGAGCGTGTCTCTGCAACTCGACTGTTCCGCCGGGTCTGATTCCGAGAACTTCCTCGTATTTTCCTACGAACGATGATGCTCGGGTTACGAACGATTGCGTCGGTAAATAACTACGCTAGGCTATAACTTAACTCGGTTTTGTCTGTCTCTGTATTTTCCCCGCCTCTCCCTGTGCACACCGGCTCGTGTAGTCGTGTGTGGAGCCTCGCACACGAGCCCGAGACCGCGTGTTTGTACGCGGCTCGGATTACAGTTGCGCAACGCATCTATCCCTTGCAATTTTCATTGCTTTCGGAACAGCGGCGGCGCGTATTATCGTGAGATACTACTGTATGTACGCAGGAACACGAACGGAAGCTGTATCTCTCGACGACATGCAGAACGCAGACGGAAAGGAAACCGTCTAATTATTTGGTTAATGGACTTACCGAGTGGTGAACTGCTGTTTTTGTGTGTGTACGAGGATTGGACACCGAACGGATCTGAAACAGAGAATGAAGTTTTTATTAGATTGGAAGGCAACACGCGCCCGGCGCGGGGCTATTTCGCGAACTTGAAGGATAGCCGGAAAATATTCGGTTCTCCAAAGGGAGCAATTTCATAAATGGGCTTTCCGCCGCAAAGTTACGTTATCATAAAAAATTAACTGCGCATTTTCGTTTATCACGCGTGATATCATTCTCACGAGACTGATATTATCTCCTCCTGATTCTAATAGAATATTATGTTAATTCGCGTGTTAGTGCTATCGCAAGAAACGTTTGCCGGATCGAATGTATAAAGTGTTGTATCCATAAATGCATGCATGGAGAACACTATGCTATAGTCATATCAGAACCCAAGGCACTACGGTAAGTTGATTGCTACGTCATGTTAGGCATGATACACCAGCACATCACTCGCAATCAGTTTAAAGTACCTTGTTCCGCGGCCTCAGAACTTGCAAACTCACGAACAGGTTCGATACATACGCGCAACATTTGTGAAATGAAGGCGGGAAAATTGAGCGAGACAACTTCGGCTTGCGGTTGGAGTTATTGATCTTATAATAAGTTAAATATGAGATGAAAGTCTTTTGCCATCAATTTATCTTTATATGACAGGAAGAGAAAATAAAAAGAAAATTACTTAGGGAATAAATTTCAAATTTTATTCGGATACTCTCTTTTTTTGTTCAAAAAAGTTTTATTAATTAAGAGCAATTATTAGCTTCAAGTTTAATTGGATGAATGAATATATCAATGCGTAAGATATGAGATTTATTTTCGATTTAAGTTTGAAGCTGTTACCCAGGTAGCAGAGTGACGTCAAATGACGTATTAATAACATCTTAATGACGTCTCTAACGTCAATAAAACGTCATTAAGACGTCTTTAGACGTCATTCTGCTCCCAGGGATATGATGTTATATTAAATATTGCTAATAAATATAATATACATATAAAAATAATATAAATACTACTTTGAAATTAAATATTATTTCATTTCACAAATTTATAATTTGTGAGGAATTTCTAGATATTTCTTCAATATTATAAATTATAAGAATAATTTATTGTATCTACCTATATATATTAATTTTATATTAATTTAATAATAACTTTAAATCATTAATTTAATTTGAGTAGCAATATTATCTTGTTAAGAAACACTTGGTAACTTCTAAATAGATCTTCGTATACCGACAATTATCTTATGTTACACGCAAACTAATCTCCACGCCCTCCTAAATTTATCGATCTGGCCCTGTCTCACGACGCAAATACCCGAGAACATTAATTAACCGCCGCGGCGGGCACATCGATCGAGGAAGTCGCTTCTTATCGAGGTTGAAGTTCATGCGGCATCGCGATTATTAGCTGCTGGCCGGCTACACTGTCAGCGTTAATCAATTAGCGGCGCATCTAGTCTCGTGATTCGTGGATCTTGTACGTGCGGATATTGCGCGATAATTGTATACTGATTGCACAAAATGTTCTAGAACATATATCCTGGTACAATTAAATATATTTTAGCAGAAATTAAAAATAAAGTAAAAGTATTATATTAAATAGATTTTGTCTTTTACAAAACAATTTTAATTTCTGCTTAATTTTACAACTTTAATTTCGAAAGATTAATTTTTCTGATATATATTTTTATTTTACATCAAATTTTGTTCTCTGATATTTCTTAACTCTTTTGCTACCGATTTGCGTCTAGATTGCGCGTTGTTATATAATTTGTCTACTTTTCTAATATAATTAGCCAAATTTTCTAATTACGAGAACCAAATTTAGAAACTGTGGTTTCATCCACATTGTTGGAACTGAAAGAGAAATAGAGAGAAAGCGATAGGAATGAGAGTGTGCAGGAATAAGGCATGCAGCCGCGTCGTCGAATTATTCACGCGGGCGCATTTCCAAAGTTCTCATTCTGTAATGACAAAGTGGGCGACAACCAAGCTCCCGTTTCGGCTAAAGTGCCCCTCAAAGCGTAGTTAACGCGCATCTAATTGTAACATTATATTTCTATGGAGCGGAGAGATACGACTTTGTATTGTATCTTTCACGCTAAAACGACGTTTTCTCCTAACACTCGGATAATACGCGAAAATGTCTATTTTTCGAGGAGAAAATCATTAATCTCGTCTATCCGAATCAGAGAAGAGACATTTATGTGCCTTTGTGAAGGCATTCGCATGCACGAGCATTATTACGTGAGCTAAATAATTAAGATTTCCGGCGCGCGAATCTTATTAATACTGAATATATATATATATAAATATACTTTGAAGGAAATATACTTTGAAGGGCTTCGAGACCGAGTACAGAAAAATCAGAGAAGAGTTTTTCTTTTCTCGTGTCTATTCCTGTTAAATCTCACAACGCAACACACGCGCTTTCCACGATGCTGATATTGCAACCAGTAAGATTATTCTCACGAGAACGTCATGATGGATGATATCCCGAAGGAAACATCGGAGATTATCCATTAATTACCGTTTCGCTATATCAGTCGTTGCATATTTATTGGATGACGCGAACTTTTCTGTCAAGCGCGAAAACGACTCGGGCTGTAATTACATTGATGGATCGTAGCAATTTATATATAACGTACAATTATGTTTATCACAATGTAAAGGGCTGTTTAAGTGAAGGAAGAACTTCTCTTTCTATCCTTCTCTTATATCCTTGCTTCACAATGTTTTGATATATATCTAAAATCTTGTTACGTTTCCATCAAGATTTCTATTTTTAATCTTGATTTATAATGTAATTGATTTAATAAACTCTAAGTAAACGTTTCAAAATATTAAAGTTTAATGTGATTTTTGATGTATTTTATATATCCAAAGTAGAACAATTTAATATTAAATGCTGATTCAAAAAGTTACATAAATATAGTTAGAAAATTCCACCTCCCACCGCGCACTTTTGCGATAAGTATCAATTATTCGCATCGAGTTTAATTTGTTGTTACAGAAACATGGTCCTCCCCTCGATTGTCACAGGCAACGCCTGTACCAGTGTCAAGTATCGATAATATCGAACCTTTTTCATGTATGTATTGAGCGATATCGGCCGCTCTTGTGCGGCACATTCAACATCGTATGTACAAATAAAAATATCAATATCCTATTAAATTCCGTGCATCCCCAGTTGCAATCTCGTTGATTGTATACCGGCGCGCACGTGTGTCGACGGACAGCACACGTGGATCGCTCGAGCGGGTTTGACACGTTCGCAGGTCGAGCGAATCTCGTCAGGCTGGCGTTGCGTTCGCATTGCTATTTGCGTTTCGCTGAGGGCACACACGCCGTACATCGTTAATTCCCGTACGTTCGTGCCTCCATTTTCGCCTCATGTTTGGACGGCTGTTCGCGTACCACCCAGAATAGCCCGATACACCGGCGACCGTAAATTCGCGCCGAATTATACTGACGCGTAATTTGCGAATTCGTGAAACCGCGACGGCGGCACCGGCACCGGCGACGCGTGAGATTAGCGTTGAAGGACACCGTATCGAATCCCAAATATGACGTTCACGAGCTAGCTGCATGCTAGAATGCTAGATCAACTGGTCTGACTGAGTGACGTCTGATGCACGAATGCTTCGCGCGAATACAAAATTGAACTATTAGGTACGAGTTTAAGTTTCAATATGCTTGATGCAAATACTTTTCTTCTATTGTGTCCGTTACGTCAAGGCACATTTACCGGAATTACAACCTGAACCCGATTGAATCTTTGGTTATTTAAAAAACGTACTCGCGCAAATTCCACGTTTAGCGCTATATTGAACTTGTATAAATTATACCGATACATATTTCTGTCATTTCGAATAAAATTTTACGCAGATAACTTTCGTCTTCTCGCTAAAGTCTATCGCGATAAGTTTCCATATCCTCCAAACGATTGTTTCGATATTTATACTAGATAAAATCACCGAAGCAGCTATAACGTATTGTATTGGTAAGTGTGCCACGTAGATCCGAAGAAATGTCGGAGACGTTACATAAACCGCTTTCCCGCCGACGTAGGTAATTCGCGAGGACGACAAGAGGCGGCGAAACGATTTTTCATCTCAGTCACGTTTGCGGGAGTCTGGAGTTTTCGGGGGAAAAAAGAAGTTCGTGCTGTCTCCGTCATCCGCTTCACGCGTTCACACGTACACGCGCGAATGAGCGTATCTCGCACGCTCTTCTTCCTTCTGAACTCCAAACTATAGGTGTAAAAGCGACGTTCTTTCATGGTTGCAAGCACGCCGGCTCTTTTTCGTTACTTTACTTTGTGTGTCACGCCAACTACGTTCTCGCCAATTCCGAAAGACAACAAAGGAACAAGCTAGTATCAAGACGTATTGAAACAAAAATTGCTTTCGCTGATTTCTTTTAAACTATTAATTTTTACGATAAGAGGTATAAGATCGTCATGGAGATGTAAAACGTAAGAATTATGAAGAAATCTGTAAATATATACAGGGTGTCTTATTTTTAACGATTACCTTCCAAAATTTTAATTTCTTTTAATTTTAGAAGAAAATATTTCAGACAAAAGTTGTACGGTCTTTGGGGGGACAAACCGGACAAATAATGGTGAAACCAATTTTCGAAAAAATCTATTTTTCAAAGTCACGTAAAAGTCACCTTTATTTTTTTAAATGTAACACCTCATTTTTGAACAGAATTTTGTAGCTGATGTTGAAACATTTCCAAAGACCTATATAATAGTTAATATTTTTGTTGAAAAGTTGCGGAGATATGATCGTAAGATATCGGAAAATATATTTCCGCAAGTTCTCAACAAAAATATTAACTATTATAGGTCTTTGGAAACGTCTCAACATCAGCTACAAAATTCAGTCACATTATTTATCCCTCTCTAGACCATACAACTTTTATCTAAAACATTTTCTTATAAAATTGGAAAGAATGAAAATTTAAGGGGAGGGTGATTGTTTAAAATGGAACATCCTGTATGTATAATTTTGCATTCACTCC